AGGGACAATACCGTGGTGACGGTTAGTGATGATGGACAATATTGTTGGTGAAGGTTAGTGACGAGGGACAATACCGTGGGTAACGGTTAGTGACGAGGGAAAATACTGTGGGTAAAGGTTAGTGACGAGGGACAAAACTGAAGATGAACGTTAGTGACGAGGGACACTACTGACGTTGTAGGTTAATGACGAGGTACAATACTGAGTGTGAAGGTTAGTGACGAGGGACAATACCGAGGGTGAAGGTTATTGATGAGGGACAATACCGTGGGTGAAGGTTAGTGACGAGGGACAATACCGTGGGTGAAGGTTAGTGACGAGGGACAATCCCGTGGGTGACGGTTAGTGACGGTGGGACAATACTGTGGGTGAAGGTTAGTGGCGAGGGACAATACCGTGGGTGATGGTTAGTGACCAGTTTATCATATACTCATTCCTATCTTTCGCTGTATTAGAGAGAACTTTTCATGTTCATGTTGCTGTTATGAGAATAATTAATAAAATGTATTGTTCCCTTTCTCTCTCTCTCTCTCTCTTATATATATATATATATATATATATATATATATATATATATATATGCTGATAACCACAAGGAAAGAAGAAAACACGAAGTTCCCAAGCGCTTTCGTGTAATTCACATCTTCAGGGGTGATTACAGACTAAGGAAAAGTACTAAACAAGGTATATATATACAGAGGAGGGTGAGATCAGGTCCACAATGGTCAGGTATTAGGTAATGACCTTACTAATCTCGATCAAATTCACTGTGGAATTAGAGCATGACTGTAAATTTCCTTTCCTTGACTGTCTGATCCACAGAATAGGTAACACCTTTAAGTTCATTAGTTATAGGAAACCTCCTAATGTGTGTTCATACATTCATTATTATTCTGCCCACCATAATAGAGTCAAACAGTCAGTATTTTCATCAATGTTTTTACGTGCTTTGAGAATTTGCAGCCTGGAATTCAATGATGAGGAATGTAAATATATCTATAATAATGGCTTGAAACTTAAGTACCCTAGATCTTTCATAGACAAATGCCTTAACATTACTAAGAAATCTTTCGATAGAACCGATCCCAAGCCCACCCATGACCATAAGAATCTCTTAGTATTACCATTTCACAAAAATTTCTCTCAAATTCCTTTACAACTGAAAACCTGGAATCCCAATGTGGCATTTAAAAACTCATGCACTGTTAAACAAATTTTAATCAAGAACTCCCCCAACAATACAAGTGGCTGCATTTATAAGGTTCCTTGCAAGGAATGTAATATGTTTTACATAGGCCACACAGGTAAAAATCTTGTAACTAGACTTAAACAACATAAATATAGTGTTAGGACAGGCCAGGAATCCAATGCTCTGTTTGTTCATTTGAGGGATAAAAAGCATTGCATTGACTGGGATAATGCCTCCTCAATATCACCTTGTAATTCAATTGACAGTAGGAACATTATAGAATCTAGTCTCATTAAACATACCGAAGCAGTCAACATGAATTTGAGTAATGGTATGTACAAACTGGACAATTTTGTAATTAAGAAGATTTTTAACCAAGTGAGAAGGTTGGGTCAACTTACACTCTGACCTCGCTACCGTCTGTTGCGGTGCTTTTTATAGATTAGTAGTGTCATCACCTAATACCTGACCATTGTGGACCTGATCTCACCCTCCTCTGTATATATATATAAAATGTTTTGTACTTCTCCTTAGTCTGTACTCACTCTGTGAATTAGAATTTTGACAGAACAAAGTAACAACACTTTTGTGAGTTGTTAACAGCATACACCAGATCCCGCACAATTGGATTTTATAATACAACATATATATATATATATATATATATATATATATATATATATATATATATATATATATATATATATATATATATATATATATATATATATATATATATATATATATATATATATATATATATATATATATATATATATATATATATATATATATATATATATATATATATATATATATATATATATATATATATATATATATATATATATATATATATATATATATATATATATATATATATATATATATATATATATATATATATACAATATATATACATACAGTATTACCCGGCTTTATGCGGTTTCACTTTCCGTGATTTCTCATTTACGCGGTACCTCGCCAGAACCGGACTTTCACTTTCCACGGTGCCTCTACCCATATACCATATACTCACAGAGTGTCTGGTGCGACGCTATTTTTAGATTCGACCCTCCCGCCTTCTCCCGCTGGGCATCCTTACCTCCCTCCGCTGCTAGCTGTGATTGGTTTAAAGTAATATGACGTGTCCACCCGCGGGAGGGAGGGAGGAAAGACGACGCTTGACCTAGCCGCGTCAGTTTCATCCCTCCAGGCCACACCGTGTAAACGTGCATCCATTGTTCTGTAAAATGGCTTCCGCCAGACCACCGCCCCCAGAGAGAAACCTTGCCTTACCTGGACCCAGCCGCCCTAAGCCAAAGAAGATACGACGTTCCCTAAGCTACGAAGTGAAATACAAGATCATTCAAGATTTGGAGAAAGGAACACGTCAAGCTGATCTCGCGCTCCAGCATGGAGTCAACGAATCTACGATTCGTACTATTAAGAAGGATGCAGCTAAGATCAAAGAACACATGAGAATCACAAAGTCTGCAGGTGCTTCAATGATCAAGTATTGCCAGAACAAGGTGCTGCTAAAGGTTGAAAATTTGCTGTTGAGTTACTTGATTCGTCAGGCGCGACGCAACATGGCCAGTGGACACGCGATCCGTTCAAGAGTACGCCCGTGAACTGTACGCAGCAGTGTCACGTAAGATGGGAATTCCAAAGCCCAAACCCTTCAATGCTTCTTCTGGTTGGCTGCATAGGTTTAAGAAGAGGAACAAGATCACCAACATCAACATTGGTGGTGAAGAAGCGAGTGCTGACCGTGTGGCGGCTAGAGATTTTCCTCCGTTCTTATGTTAGGTTATGGAGGAAGGGCAGTACACCGACGACCAGGTGTTCAACATGGACGAATCTGGTCTATTTTGGAAAAAGCTGCCTACCAAGACCTTTGTTGTCCAGTCTGCAAGCAAGATTCGGGGCCGGAAGTTGCAGAAGGAGTGCATCACCGTCCTCTTTACCACCAATGCCTCCGGTACCTGTAAACCCAAGTTATCGGTGATTCACACAGCCCGCAAGCCGCACGCCTACAAGAACGTGGACATGAGCAAGATTAATGTCCACTGGCGTGGATGTTCTCCTCTCTGTCACTCTCGTGGTTTGATGACTGTTTCGTTCCCGACGTGAAGAAATTCTGCGAGCAACAGAATGTTCCATTCAAGATTTTGTTGCTGTTTGACAACGCACCAGGACACTCGCCCCTACTTATGGATCATCACCCCAACGTAAAAGTGGTCTTCCTGCCTCCCAACACTACGTCATTAATCCAGCCCATGGACCAGGAGTTGATCTGCAATGTGAAAGCTGCATACTCTGCAAAGAAATTTAAGCTCCTGAACGACTGTACCAACACCAAGGATGAGTTGCGTAACCTGGGTGACACCGATAGCGAGAGCAAAAGCGACGAGAATGAGGACGAGGACAAGGAACAAGAGGTGGTGAATCAAGAAGTTCTCGTCAAACAGTTTTGGAAAAAATGTAACGTCAAACAAGCTGTGGACTTCTTGGTGGAAGCATGGGATCAGCTGTCTATAGCTGCGATTCGTCACGCATGGAGGCATGTGTTGCATGGTATACCAGGTGAGAGGCGGAGACAACCTGTGACTGGTGAGGTTGTCTGTGACAGTGGCATTGGACCTTGCAAGAGAAGCTGCACACAGTATTACAGCTGAAGGCTTCTCCGAGACCACCAACGAAGACATCCTGGAGGTGATCAGAGATCCTGAAATGACTGCCGACGAGATGTTGGAAGATGATCACGTCAGTGAAGAGGAAGGTGGTGCATCAATCCCAGAAGAACACAAGTTAACGCATAGTAATATTAAGGGTGCAATCGAGTGTGCAGAGAAATTGAAGCTCTTCCTTTCCAACGACCATGACGATGACCGCTATGAAGTCTTCCATACCCGGCTGGTGCAGGCTATGGAGCGGTACATCAAGGTGTATCAAGACAACATCAACACTAGTCGTCAAAAAAGCATTACCGAGTTCTTCGCCCGCAACCCACCACAGCCAGCCGGAGCCAGTGATAGTGACAATGAAGGTGACTTTGACTGATTTGTCAGGGAGGCCATGACAACTATGACGGATAGTGATGGTGATTCACCTAGTGATGGTGATTCACCTAGTGATGGTGATTCACCAGAGGGCCAGTAATCTGCCCTCTACCTCGGAACCAGCCTCCATCCCCGTATGCCGACCCATCTCCTCTACTAACGTAAGTGTTAAACCTAACCTTTAGTTTTCCTAACCTAACCTTTATTTTTCCTAACTTAAACCTTTATTTTTCCTAGCCTAACCTCTTCTATATTAATTGTGTGTGCATACCATCATAAAGTTAAGATAATATTTTTACTACAACATAGTTTTGTGTCGTCAAAAAGTGGAGTTTGGGGGTCGGGCCAATCTCTATTGGAATTAATCCCATATGTTCTGTTGTTCACTTTACGCGGATTTCACTTTCCGCGGTACTCTGTGGGTTGTACAGCATTTTGTAATTTGAAATGACAGTCGCAAAACTTTGATTTCTTTTATTGACTCGGAATCTTTTGCAGTGAATGCTCAAACTCAAAGTATGTCTTTTGCGTCACTTGTTGCTTTATTTGTCAGTTCATATTTTGCGACTGTCATTTCAAATTACAAATTGCTGTATAAATATTACAAGAAGCGGCATAAGTTTTAAAAAGATATATATCAATATATGAAGCAACAAAACAGTCACAGGAATAGTAATTTGAACAAAAAAGTAGCTTCCGAGTTAATATTACAGGTAAAGAAAAACAAAAACTTTTGCCACACTCACCGTTACAGTAGGTGCCGCAGGGACGAGTAGAGTCGTCGGAAGACTCCAAGGCTGACCATTTGGTGTCGAGGTAGAAGTAGATAACAGTAGAAATGCACAGGATCAGCACCAGGTTCACCGGCCCCATATCTGTATGACAGACGTGGTGAGATTGTTGACACATATAAGTTACTATATGTTAAGTGCCGTCGCAGGCGAGGGATATCATTATATATATTTATATATATATATATATATATATATATATATATATATATATATATATATATATATATATATATATATATATATATATATATATATATTTATATTTATATATATATATTTATATTTATATATATATATATTTATATATATATTTATATTTATATTTATATATATAATTCACATCTTCAGGGTAGTACAAACATCTGTACTCACCCTGAGACTACAGGACTTTGTAACTACAGTATTTTCTTACATATATATATATATATATATATATATATATATATATATATATATATATATATATATATATATATATATATATATATATATACATATATATATATATATATATATATATATATTTTTTTTTTTTTTTTTTTTTTTTACGGGGAATAGTCCACCCGGGACCAGGTCATCAGCCCACAATGGGGCCTGGGCGCCGAAAAAGTGAGTGCAAAAAGTATAAAATAAAAGAGATAAAAATTTGAGAAAAGACTGTTTGTTGATCAACACCGCGAATACAACGGAAACCAGCTTTTGTAGTGAGACAGATTGGAATAGGATGGAAACACAGAAGAAGACAGAGCATTCCAAAGTTTGGCTGTGTTGGGAAAGAAGGATGAACTATAACGAGTTAGTCTACTGTGATCGTCATCCAGACAGAAACGGTGGGCACCGTCGGCAAAACTAGTGTTACGAGCCCACGGTCTTGCAGGCGGTACACAGGATGCCGAACATTGCCCGTTAAAGTACCTGTAAAAGAAAGAGATTGAAGCAACATTGTGGTGAAGAGAAAGGGAAGAGAGATTATCAACTAAACGAAGAGAGTTAATAGGACAAAGTGCCTTTGATTGCACCCTTTCTAACAGTTGGACAGAAGAAGAACCACCCCACATAGGAGAGCAGTACTCCAAGTTGGGATGAATGAATTCCTTATAAACATGAAACAACTGCTCAGAAGTGAAGTAACTACGGCATCTGTACAACATTCCCAGCTTTCGAGGAAATGGTGAGGCCTAGCATATCTATTTTGGAATTTAGCAAAATGATTGCGCCCTTAAATGTGATTGGTGGGAGATCTTCTATTTTGGAAAGTGTAATTAGTAAATACTGAATTTTATTACTCTTGAACTTAACCAAGTTTCTACCTCAACATTTGGAGATGCTGCACAGATCCGCATTGATAGATGAAACGATATCAACTCTAGAAACAGATCTAATTTGAGAGTTAGGAGGGAGGAGAAAATAAGAAAAAGAGTCAAGAGTAGATCATCAGCGAAGAACGGATAGATTTTAGTCGTAGTGTTAAGTAAATCATTGATAAAAAGAAGGAAGAACACAACCCTGTGGAACACCACTATTGGTAGAGAAAGAGCGAGAGATCGAGCCCTCGACATCAACCGCCATGGATCGGTTCTCGGGGATGCTAGAAATTAGAGAACAGAGTGGAGGAGAGAAACTGTAATAGGGAAGTTTAGAAGGCAAAGACTTGTGCCATACCTTGTCAAATGCTTTCGGGATGTCGAGGATCAGACTGGTGATTCGACAAAAGAGAAAGGCGTTCAAGATGACGGAGAAAATGAGATTTTATGATTGTTTCGAAAATCTTAGAGAGGAATGAAGTTAGAGCAATGGTCGTGCGATATGTATTGATTATTATCTTATATAGTTCATTGTGTATTACATTGAAGACTCGTTATATACACCATTCGTCAACACGATACAATGATTACATTAATATGCTAGATCAGAAGAAAACGTCCCATTGTCGCCTGTAATGAATGAATATGAAATGTTGCATTGACAACTCAAGTAATGCCAACATGTTTCCATTTTAATAAAAGCGGTGGACAGAAGTCTGAAGTCTCCTCCACGGCACATAATTTATTTAGAAACATATTCAACACATATTGTTACCTTCACACTGACTTCCAAAAATTAAATGTTTGAAATGACAAGTGATTGAAAATTTATTTTATGACAAAAGTGTCAAACTCTGATTACGGTATGTTATCAATGATCAGTCAATTCACACCCCTCGCTTGGCTCTGATTACTTTACAGATAAACAAATAGATATTACTTATAGAAAGGGAATTAGTTGTGCTTAGAAAAGGTAAGATTTTCATTTACAGTTCACCAGCCTTACAGAACCAGACATGACATGCACCTCGGATACTGAGACAGATTCCAGGCACTATTATTATTATTACGTATTTTATTTAATTTATTTAGTATGGTATAGTATAGTATAGTATAGTAGGTTGTTCTAGCAAGCATCAATCACATGTGAATAAAGAATCACCTCAATTAACTTCAAACCTCCTCTTGTTCACACTCTGGCCAAAGTTTAACATGAAAAGCATGAATGTTATCTGCATACTATAGCAGATGAGGAAAATAATACAGTAGATATAAACTTAAGCCTAAATTGAGTGTAAATAGTTCATCATTCACGAATGCCATGACTGTAGGTAGAGGGGCACCTGCCTCTTTTTCCCTCCCGCTACCCCTCCCACCCCACATTCTCTTTCCCTCACTTCACTTCGCTATACCACCGTTCACTAGGCAGAAGATACGATCTAATAACAGTCTTTTTTTTTTTTTTACGGGAATTAGCCCACCCGGGCACAGTTCAAATGACCCACAACGGAGCCTGGGGGCGAAAAAAAAAAGAACGGAAAGAAATTGTAAATATAGAAAAAAAGGTTATACCGTATTAATCTACACCACGAAGATGCCGGAAAACCAGCTTTTTAAAGTGAGACAGATTGTAAGAGCATGGAAACACAGAAGAAGGCATAGCATTCCACTGTTTAGCTGTGTGAAGAAAGAAGGAGGTACTATAACGGGTTATTCTTGTGTGACCGACATCCACAGAGAAATGGTGGGCACCGCGGGTAAGACGTGTGTTACGAACCCACGGCCTTGCCGGTGGTACACAGGATGCCAAATCCACTGAACATTGCCCGTTAAAGTACCTGTAAAAGAGAGAGAGTGAAGCAACATTGCGGCGAAGAGAAAGGGAGGAGAGATTGTCGACTAAGGGAGGAGAGTTAATAAGACGAAATGCCTTTGATTCCACCCTATCTAATAGTTGGACAGAAAAAGAGCCACCCCAGATATAAGATCATTACTCCAAGTAAGGACGAATGAATCCCTTATATACTTGAAGCAACTGCTCAGGAGTGAAGTAGCTGCGGCATCTGTACAGCATTCCCAACTTTCGGGAGGCAGCTTTAGTTATACTAAGGATGTGTGATTTCCAGGACATATTGGAGGAAATGGTGAGGCCTAACATATTTATTTCAGAATTTGGGAGGATGATAGCGTCCTGAAATGCAATTAGTGGGAGATCGTCTAGATTACAAAGTGTAATTGGTAAATATTGAGTTTTGTTATTATTGAACTTGACCAAGTTTGTATCTCCCCATTCAGAGATGCTGCACAGGTCCGCGTTGATAGAAGTAATGATATCAGTTCTAGAAACAGATCTAGTTTGAGAGTTAGGAGGAAGGGGAAAATGTGAGGAAGAGTGAAGAGTGGAATCATCGGCGTAAGAATGGATAGAATTAGTTGTAGTGTGAAGTAAATCATTGATAAAAAGAAGTTAGAGAGTTGGTGATAGAACAGAACCCTGTGGGACGCCACTATTGGTAGAGAAAGAGCGAGAAACCGATCCATCGACAACAACTGCCATGGATCGGTTCTCAAGGAAGCTTGAGATGAGAGAACAAAATGGGGGAGAGAAACCAAAAGAGGGAAGTTTAGATAGCAAAGATTTGTGCCATACTCTGTCAAATGCTTTGGAGATGTCGAGGGCCACGACAAAAGTTTCCCCATAATCCCTAAGAGAGGATGACCAAAGATGGGTGCAATAGGAGAGTAGATCACCAGTAGATCTCGCACGGCGAAAGCCATACTGGTGATCCGACAAAAGAGAAAGGCGTTCAAGGTGACGGAGAAAATGCGAGTTCTAGATAGTTTCGAAAATCTTGGAGAGAGATGAAGATAGGGCAATGGGGCGATAGTTAGAGGGGTTAGAATGGTCACCCTTCTTCGGGATGGGCTGAACCAAGGCATGCTTCCAAGAAGAAGGAAAAGTTTTCGTTTTGAGGCAAAGGCGAAAGAGGCGAGCAAGCACAGGGGCCAGGGCTTCAGCACACTCCCTCATAACACGAGTGGGTATTCCGTCCGGTCCATGCGCCTTACTCACATCCAACCTGGATAACACACCGGCAACCCTGCGAGTGCATAGGTTCAGTAGGAGGTGCAGGGGTAGGAGGGATAGAGTGGGAATCGTCTAAGGAATTAGAGGAGAATAAGGTGCCAAAGAGGTTGGCTTTGTCAGGGGGAAAGTTGGCTATAGAGTTATTGGGACGGAAGAGGGGAGGAAAAGAAGGTGTGCAGAAGTTGTTACAGATGTTTTTAGTTAAGGACCAGAAGGATTTACTAGAGGAAGAATTAGTCAGGACAGCGGTCTTTCTTTTAATAAAATTCCGCTTGGCCCTACGAAGAATAGCCTTACAACGATTCCTAGAAGTAATGAAAGAGGTGTGGGTAATAGGAAAAGGAGATAGTTTCATAGCTCGATATGCCCTATCTCTCACCCTGCAAGCAAGAGAGCAGGAGCGATCAAACCATGATTGTAATGTGAAAGTTTTGGTAGAAGATGAGATAAATGCACTCATACCACTTCGTATAACCTCAGCAATGCTGTCAGCACATACTGAGGCATCCCGAGTGGAAAAGCAACATTCATCCCAAGGAAAGTCGGTGAAGAATTCTCGCAAGGATTGCCAGCTTGCCCTCCGATAGTGCCATAGTTGACGTTTAGAGGGGGGTGGGAGAGGTGGTCGTGCCCAGTTTGATTTAATAGAAATAAGGTTGTGATCAGAAGACCCTAAAGGGAACAAAAAT